TCCCCACCTCCCCCACAGACTCAGCAACTCCTGGAACAGCTGGTAACAGAACTAACTCCTGTGTGGGCGACCTCTGTGGAGTTCTCCCTCCTGCCCCCGCCAGCCCAGCCAGCTCAGGGCCCTCTGTGTTTTCTGACTCACTTCAATGTCGGGGGCTGACACGAACTGGCTAGCTCTTACAGATTTGGGGGTGCAGGATAAATCCTGGCTGGAAATGGGGCGAGGCAGATTGTCTGGCTGCCTCCCCGTCTGGCCTATAAGCCACCTTCACCTGTCAAGCCCTTTGTTCACTGTCTGCGTGGCCAGGGAGGGAGTTGACAATGATCCCTTCGCTTGCCCCAGCGGCCTGTTCTCATGGTTACTTGGCTACAGGGCCCGCCCCCCAGCTCTGCCAGGACCAAGCAGCCTGCCCTAGGGTTAACCAGGTGGGGATGCTTTGGTTCAGCCAAGGACTTGGGAGTTAGCCAGGGATTCTCCCCGTCAGGCTGCCCTGGAAACACACACAGTCACCTCAGGGCAGCCTCAGTCTCGGCATGCCCGCCCCCCAGCTCTGCCAGGACCAAGCAGCCTGCCCTAGGGTTAACGGGCCCAGAAGGACCAGGCAGTCCCCAGGATGTCCTTGGCAGGCCCCTCACCTATCTGCTCCCCAAGCCCCTAACCTTGCCCTAGACAGTTGCTCAGTGGTTAGAACGTTGGCCTGAGGACTGAAGGACTGCGGGTTTGATTCAGATCAAGGGCATGTACTTCGGTTGCAGGCTTGATCACTAGCCCTGGTTGGAGGGCGTGCAGCAGGCAACCAATCCATGTGTCTCACATGTCCATGTTTCTCTTTCTCTGACTCTCCCTGTCCCTTCCACTCTAAAAAAATCCTCGGGTGAGGATTAACAGCAGAGTTCCTAACCTCTTCTGAGTGTGGATTGTGCTGATAATGAAAGCTATGGACTCTCTTATCAGAAACACACATGTACACTCCACACATCTTGCATCGTGTCAGGGAGTTCGCACCTCCCGAAGGGCCCATTAATTGAACCCCTTGGCCCAGAGGTTGAGAAATCTCGCTCAGCTCTCTCCAGGGTGATCGGGCCCTGGGGGTACGGTGGGGCAAGGCCCAGAAAAGCAGGTCCCAAGAGAAGTAGCTCCTCTGAAGTCCTCCCTCCTGCTCCTGCTCCACTGCCGGGGACTCTTCCCTGCCCAGCCCCACTGCTGGGGCCATGGCCAGGGGAGGCCGTGTCCAGGCACAGGCCCCGCAGAGTCCCTGCGGGAAGGGAGCTCACCCGAGGCCCTTGCGCCTGAGTGGGAGGGAGCTGATAACATGGACAGAAAGGAAGGGGAAAAGCTGCCCCATCCTGCACCTCCTCCTCGCTCGCCTCACTCCACGGCTCCCCTCACTGACCCGCAGCGCAGGCAGCCCCTCACTCACAGCAGCAGCATCTCACTGCGTCCTCTGCCCCCACCCCCTTGAGGTCACAACACTTTCCCCTCCTCAACCTGCCCACCTGGTGGAGCTTCGGCTTCCCCCACAGGGGCCCTGAGGCAGCCGGGGCTGGTGTCTCCTACCTACAGAGACCCTTTTTCTTCAGGGTCTGGGAGCGGCTGGGTTCCAGGAGTTTAATTCAGATCTGAGCAAGCTCCCCTCCTCTGAAAAGTAGCCAGAATCCCAATTTGGTGGGAGGGAAAGTGGGGCAGAACTGGAGTGGACACGACTGATGACCCAGAACAAGTCTGCCCTCACGCTGTCATCAGAAGGCTCCTGGGAGAGGGCTGGCCAGGCAGTGCCTTCCCTTGGTCCACGACAAAGGGCATGTGCTCCTGCGGGGGGGCGGGGGGGGGGGGGGGGGGTACCTCCCT